ATTTTGTTAATAATAATAATAATAATTAATAATATCCCACCTACTTGACAGCCTCAAGAAACAAATGTGTGCCCCTCAAACGTAAGATTATTTGAATGATTAAAAATAGAATGTTAAAATAAATTAGATACAAATTAATGATTGATTCATGAACTCATTCTCAAATAAATGAATACCCCGAAATTCTTTAGACCTTCTGCTATCATGAGCTCATAGAATCAGCAATTACTTAAAATTGTGTTACTACTAATTTTCTTGCCAAGCTTTTCCCCAGGATTATGTCTTATACAAATAAAGACTTGGGGGAACCAGGAAAGTATAGCTTTATTGCTGTATATGAGAAGTTGTCTTAAAACAAAACAAAACAAAAACACAGTTTTTATTAATGACATTTTTAAAAATGGCTTTTAGGATGATAAATGTGCCCACTCCATATACTTACCTCTTATTAGGAAGTTTCTGTCTTCAATGTCTTGCAGACATTGGCAAATTAATTTATCATTATAATACCACTGAGAAATAGGCAAACAAGTTAAACTGGAATATTGTTTTCTTAGGATTACAATTCCTGTATTATTAAAAAAGAATTAGCAGAGATCATAATAACTAGTCTGAAACAGATAGCAGTAGGCATAAGAAAAATATGTAGAAGAAGCAATAAGAGGTGCAGACACACTTAGAAATCTGGGAGGATCAGGGCACCTAGGTGGCTCAGTGGTTGAGCATGTGCCTTTGGCTCAGGTCGTGATCCTGGGGTCCTAGGATCGAGTGCCGCATCAGGCTCCCTATGGGGAGCCTGCTTCTGGCTCTACCTATGTCTCTGCCTCTCTCTCTCTCTCTCTCTCTCTCTCTCTCTCTCCATCTAATGAATAAATAAAATCTTTTTTTAAAAAAGAAAGAAATCTGGGATGATAGCCTTGATTGAGTCTGATAGTTTGTTCCCAGCAGTAATTTCATGGGGCATGTTGTGGGAGAATGTGATGTGGTTTTAAAGGTCACAGTCATATATCGCTGTATCTGCCATAAATTTGCACCAGACCACCTGGAATCTATTTATATCCTTCTACAAACTCGTTAAAGAATGTTTCATACGTTTATCCTCCCCCATATGAAGAAGTCGTATGTCGCTTGCTTGTCTTAAAATTACCATTTCTCCTTTCAAATAATTCACTCCTTTCCACAGAGCATAAAGGAATGAGCAAAGTCAGTTGATTTTATTTATGTCATGCATGCTCTTGAAAATTTCACTTCTGAGCTTTTATTTTGTATTTTTCCCAGACTATTAATTAGTAATCACATGACAAGTTTCCTGAACCTTTTCTCCTTTTACATGAAATATTGCTTAAGAGATGAGATCTCAGACAAGATAATGTGCAAAGTATGGTAATTACACCATCGTTTCAATATTATGTTGGCTTTTGTTCACCGTGGCTTTTTGTGACAAAGTCTAGGGTTCTGTTAGCCTTTCAGGTTGCAGAAGAGTCCCATAGTGCATATACAATTCAAGTTCGTCCTTATTTATTTATTTTTTATTTTGTAGTTAAAGAATACTTAAGTAATTAGTTTTTTCACACTTACTCATAATAGCTCTTTGTTTTATACTCTTTTTCTCAGTTGGTGGCACTGTGGTCTACCAGTCACCCAGCAAGAAAACTGTCCTGTTTTCTAGATCCTTCCTCTCTCCCAATTTAAGTATCCTTCCAATAATCACAAAGTCCTTCTCGGTTTTGCTTTCTACCTATATTTTGACCCATCACTTGTGCTCTCATGACTTAAGGTCTCATCTGGCTAAATTTCGGTTGTTCCTTTAAAAGAATCAGTATTAGTGCTATATGCTCAGTTAGGTGGCCTCTCTTGGTCCCTACTCTGCCTCTACCTAGTCCTATTATTTATCCCTATGTGACATTTCCTTGCACCACTTTGGGAACTCCTTGAATGAAGGAACTGGGTAGGACTTCTTCTTTGTTTGTTTTAAAGATTTTATTTATTTAATTGGAAGAGAGATCAGGAATAGGGGGTTAGGAGTGGAGGGAGAAGCTGACTCCCACCTGAGCAGGGAGCTGGAATCCGGACTATATCTGAGGACCCTGGGATCATGACCTAAACCAAAGGCAGACACTTAACCTACTGAGCCACTGAGGTGCAGAGAACTGGGTAGGACTTCTTGACTGTTTTATCCTCAGCCTCTGACTTAGGGCCTGGCACATATGAGGTATTAAGTAAATGATTGTCAACTGGATGAATGAACAAATAAAACTTTTCTTTAGCTCCCCCATGCCTGTTTTATATACCGTACTGAGACAAAATAAGGATCCAATTATCCAGGAGTAATTATATTGAATATATAACTATTTACCTTCAAAGCATGTCATGCAATTCTAGTGCTTTTTATGTTTGTTTTTTTTTTTGATATTTTTTGGTCATGTGTATGTGTTTTAAGGAAGGATGATAATAATTTTCAAAACTATGCCTTTCTGTATTACTCTTTTCATTGCTTTGTTTTAATCTCAGTAATTAAGACCATTACCTTTGTTGTCCATAAAACCTGGGTTCCAATTCTAGATTTCCTCTTGGGCCATTCTTAATCATTCTGATGCTGAGTGATACAATTATTATCTGAATCTTATGCCCCTAAATCTTTATGTCATAATTGATATCTGGAGTACCAACCAAAGTAAACCAAGGCTGAGAGAATATGGAAGCCATGACCAACCAAGATTAGAGACTGTGACAGAAAAGATACGATGTAGCAGTACCAGAGCCAAGGCTTAACGGTGGCAATTACAAGGAAATAAAAGATGATCTATAAGACTGGCTAGAACAGAAAATGGGAAGGGAAAACTGTGAGGTACCAAAGGCCAGTCAGTGTTGGCCCTTAGAACTCATGGCAACTATTTTAATATGATTCCAGAGACCATGGGATCTAGATTGAATGATTTGAAGTGTGTGTGTATGTGTGTGTGTGTGGGGGGGTGGTGATATGCTAGATAGTATGGAGAAGGAATTCTAGGAAAAATAGAGCCAAGACACTATGAAGAAGTTATTAGGGACCTACATTTGGGAACTCTTACCCACAGAAAAATGGGTGAATTCCATGAGTTATGAGAAGGTAGCATCTTTCCAAATTTCTGTGCTATTCCTTATGAGTGTCCATGAATCAGTTCATGGTGGTAACTAAGGTAAACTGGTCATTTACACAGGAAAACCTTTCAATTGTTGATATTGCTCTTCCTAATAATTTTCTTTGAGAACGTATTTAAGTCTCAAAAAAGTCTTTAACTTATGTATTTATGTGTCTCAGTCTTCTAAAAATATTGACATTTTTTGGTGACTGAGAAACTAATGTAATATTCTTCTGGTTTATCTGTAATAGTAATTGATAAAGTTTGTTAGTGATATATGTTTCAACTGAACTACTCTGGAAGTTGGCATGCCAAAGGGTGGTAAATTTTACCAATTTGCTCATGAATATGGAAACAAATTAGAATGATGAATAGCAACACACCACAGCAAGGGCCTTTATAAAATTACTTTTGATGTATTTTGTGAGATACGTGATTTTGCCATCAAACCTTTTATTTTAGGGTTATTAGTTACCACTCATTTCAGTTAATGCAGTGAAAAGGGTTTTATTATTTCCATTAATCAGCAAAAAATAAAAATAGTGATAAGCGCTTTCTGAAAATGTAGCTTTCATTGAAAAGGAGGGAACACAAAACTAAGAAAGCTACTGTAAATTTTGAATCATTAAATTCATGCCAAATAAGTCAGTAGAAATCTTTGATGGATATAAAAAAGCAATCATTTTCAAAATTGGAATGAGCAAAATTCAATCTAGGTATACTTCTCTAGTTTTTTAAGTTTGTATATTGGGAGAGCTATAATATAGAGATTGTTGAATTTTAACAACAACAAAAAAAACCCTTTTGCTGTAGGTATTTTGTATGTGTTGTGGGGCTCTAATCTAGTGTTAATTAGTTTCCCTCAGGATCCTTTATTTCAGTTGATCATCTTTGTTATAACTTACTGTTTTCCTTGCTTCTAGCCTAATAATATATCTGGTTCATATTGCTTCACTATGAAAAATCTAGGGTTTTTGTTTTGCTTCGATGTCTTTTGTTTTTATTTTACTATGTATATTATATATATTTATTGTATAAATTATATATTTAATGTATAAATATACATAAAAGCATAAGCAATATATATTTTATAAATAGTATAAATATATAATGAATTAAAATAAATATAAATAAAATTAAAAAGCTGCAGTCCCCTTTTCTAGAAAAAAGAGGGGTGAAATTTATGAGCTTTCTTCTTAATTCTCTATAGTTTTCTTCTATGCAAAGGAAAACCATTTCTCCAGTAATCAGCATTTTTTATTCTTCAACTCTGCTTTTGGAAGTGAACATAATATACCAAATCTGGAGAACTCATCACACCAAAAATAAAAATATATGCAGGTCTAGATCACGGTACAAAGTATCTTGTTCCATGAAACTGCCTTTCATTATGGTATGTACAGAAGACAAAAAAATGTATAATTGCATAAAATATTTTTTTTGATGTTCTATCCAGCAAACTTGACAGATAACATGCTCTACTATTTTGGAGAAAACTAATTAAGCAAAAAGGAACTATAAAATAAATGGGTCACTATGATGACTGAACTGATTCTCAGTGGACAACTGAAAGGCAATAGTGATGTTAGAGACAGTAGCTTGAATCATAGTGGAAACTTCCAGATTTCCTTTTGTAAGCAAAGAACAGACCAACAGACCATAACAGTGAAACTTTTTTCTTTTCACATACTTCAAACACTTAATTGCCAGAAAACAATAAATCCTTTAGTACTATCCAGGATTCAGGTTTGAATAGGCAACTGCAATAACAATGGTGCAAGTAGAAGCATCATTATTTTTTTAAGTGGAAAGCTTTTCATTTTACATTTACTATTATGCACATTATTGATTTTCTTTTCTGGTTGTTGTTCCTTACAGAGAGTGAATCTGTCCTTTGATTTTCCATTTTATGGCCATTTCCTACGTGAAATCACTGTGGCAACTGGGGGTAAGTGGTTTTCTACCCATTCACCCTAAATAATCTACAGTTTCACTACAGCTATTATTTTTAATTTACTTTACATTCAGGAAGGACATTTATTGAGAAAATCATTGTCTTCTATCACAAAGTCATGGGTGTAAATAAAACCTAAGAAAGAGTATAGCTATTGGAAAAAATTTTCAGCAGAAAAAAAAATGTAGTTACAATATCTTCAGCTTAGATTCATCTGTTTTCCTTCTACTTTTTTTCCTTCTTTTTTTTTGTATGCTTTAATTCATTTTTGGGAACATAGTTAGACTTCGTAAATGGGAAGGGACCTAGAGAAAGCAAAAAATATGCTTAAGGAAGTTGTTGTGGTATTTTTCTTTTCTTTTAATGTATATAATTGATTGATTTGAATATATAGACACAAACCATGTCCTGTATATTAGCTTTAATTACTTGGGTTCTCCCCCCATCTCTTTAATGCTACCTACATTGACTGGCAACTCATTTGAATTTTAAAAATAAATAGATTCAGTTTGGAATCTTTTGGTTTTATTTTTCTGAACAACTTTTGGGGGTTAGTTTCAAGATTAGCAATACCCTAGAAAGGCAATTATTGTTCTTTATACCATATCCCAGAAGTGAGAAAAAGGTAATCCTTGAGTGCTACTACCAGCGATAAGCAAAAAGCCAAAGAATATCCCTGTATTCTGAAAGAAAAACTTAAAAATGGAAGCATAAGTAAAGAATTAAGTTAAAAGAAATCCAGAGGTGGGAGGAAGTCCACAAAGTGCCCATGCCTAAAGCACCATAGACCAGAGTCCCCCTTCTTCACTGAGTTTTATTAATTGGTCTTCCAAATGGTTAGGGAGTAATGTGGATCACTACTGCTCCTATTTTAATCAGAGGCTTAGCAGATATGTAGGATTCAGAATAAGATTTGTAATGGGAAATATCAATAGGCTAATAGTAGTTTTTGAGTACCTACTCTGAGCAATGAATGACAAAGCTACCTCTGCCTTGGAATTATGTAGTTTACTCGATATTAGAATGAAGCAAAATGTGAGAGTTCCTTAGAAAATACAAATGAATGGATAAAGAAGATGTGATATATGTATGTGTGTATACATATATATATACATATGTGTATGCATATATGTACATATATGTACACATATATACATATACACACAATGGAATATTACTCAGCCATCAAAAGAGACGAACACCCACCATTTGCTTCGATATGGATGGAACTGGATGGTATTATGCTGAGTGAAATAGGTCAATTGGAGAAGGACAGTCATCATATGGTTCTACTCATACGTGGGATATAAGAAATAGTGAAAGGGATTATAAGGGAAAGGAGGGAAACTGAGTGGGAAAAATCAGAGAGAGAGATAAACCAGGAGAGACTCCTAACTCTGGGAAGCAAACAAAGGGTTGCATGGAAGGGAAGGTGGGTGGGGGATGGATGACAGGCAATGAGGAGGGCACTTGATGAGATGAGCACTGGGTGTAATATGTTGGCAAATTGGATTTAAATTTACAAAAATGTAAAAAAAAATACAAATCATGAAATATGGATTTCCAGGGATTATAAAGCTCAGATATCTGTGAAAATCCTATAAGACTTTATAGAGAAATTATTGTTGAAGATCTTTCTTGAAGGACATTTAAATTTCTGTGGTTGTATAGAGACGGAAGAGTCATTTCTAGAGTAGATACACAGGAGAAAAGGGTAAGGTATATTTGGATAGCAAATAATTGAGTTTGAGTGAAGCTGGAGGTAGGTTTACAAAAAAAAAAGTCATAATAAGATGAGAAAAGTAGATTGAGACAATCTTATATACTGCCTCAAGAGTCAGTTTGAGTCATTAGTCCTTAACTAGCTAAGTGATGAGTTTAAGAAACTGAATCCAGACATTTGTCTAATGCTTTCAAGTATGAAAAGACTAGGGTTAGTACATATAATTGGAAGAATATTGCAATAATTTGTGTGACACATATGGAGGGCCCTGGCAGTTCTGTGGCTTCAAACAGAGAAATGATGCTGTCAGCCAAAATTACAAAATCAAGCAGAAGAGGTGGTTTTAGGGAATGCCAATGGCTTCAGTTCTGAAACTACTAAATTTTATGTAAAGAAAGGACTTAATATGGGGCACCTGGGTGGCTCAGTTGGTTAAGCATCTGACTCTTGGTTTCAGCTCAGGTCCTCATCTCAGGCTTGTGAGATCAAGGCCCCGGGTTAGGCTCTGTGCTCTGCATGGATTCCGCTTGTCCCTCTCCCTCCCCATCTGCCCTTTCCTTTCCCTCTTTCTATCAAATAAGTATATAAAGCTTTTTTTTTTTATGTGACTAACCATAAATAGAATTCATACAACAAGGACCACATCTTTTGAGTTCTGTGTATTTCTGTGCCAGTATATTACATGGCATTTAATAACCATTGGGTTAATGTGTTGAAGGATTGAGAGAAAAAAGAAAAAGGTAAAATTGAAAGATTGCCCCTGACACCATGAATTACATTGTGTGTCTTAGCAACTTTAAAGTATGTTATAACCATGTTTTTTTTTATAATATGGACATTAGGCATATTTTCTGACATTTAGGTTATGTGTTCCACTGAATTTTAAAAAGTGAATTACTAATCACATTTGTTCAAAATCTATACATACAGTGATAAAAATATGAGCACCTTTGATATTCACCTTCTCAAATTGCTTTATTCTTAAAAGTCATGTCAGTGATTCAGCCAATATGACTAAGATTTTTCTTAGCTGAGTTGGTTGGAAAAAAAACCCAAACACCTATACTATCCTTACTGCTTCAAAGTGCCACTTTCCTTTGAAAATATCCTCAAAATTAGTGAAAAGTCTGGGGTCTTGAATGATCTCTATCTTCTTTGAAGAAAACACTAATATAAAGAAACTTTTTTTTCTCTACTTAAAATATACTAGCATGAAACTTGCATATATAAATCCATTAGCCTGTTTAGAGAGGTACAGCTGAGACAATTTAGACATTTACCTGAGCTCCATCAAAATGAAGCCAAAATCTCCTGTAAAAGTTTTCAACTAAATAAATATCCTGATTGCACTTTTATCATTCATTTATTCAATCAGTGTGAGTCCCTACTGTGTGAAAGGCACAGTATGTGATATTTCTCTGTATGCAAAGAAGAATACATTATGGGTCCTATTTTAGAGCTTAGAATCCAGGAAGAGGAAGGAGTATATGACCAAGTGTAAGAGGCTCACTGTAAATGCTGGCGGAGCAGAAAGAGGAGACCATTCCTGTTGGGCCAATCAAGAACAGGAGATTTTGGATGCTGAACTAAGGGACAGGGCTGAACCTATAGTGAACATATCTGGAGAGCTTTCAAGTACATCTGTTTATCCAGAATGGAGGGTTGGAGTTAAAGCCTAGTGAGGGGAGATGGGAAGAGTGATGTAAAATACCTTGAGCATTATAAATGTGCATGATGTCCAGCAGGTATCAGGGGTTTTTGAATAGAGAGCAGATCTGGCCTGTACTGGCAGTGGAGGGTGGGGTAAGGTGAGGGAAGTGGATGCAAAGAAGGCCATTAGCAGCCAGGCTTTGAGTGTTTCCGCATGGCCTTCAGTATCTTAACCAGGCTGGGTACAGTGAAGACAGAGAAGGAGCCAGTGTAAAACACATTGTTGAGTTCTTCAATCATTGTGATTGCAAAGGTTTCTAGGCAAAAGGATCCGTTAGGATGTGGTGAGTAAAGCTAAGAACAGCTTAAAAGGGGACTTGGGAACAGATTTTTGATGGATCTCTTCTGTGATTGACTAGGTGTGATAGGCAGATGGACCCATCTGACAAGTGCTCATCACATTAGAAAGCTTGAAATGTTATGAACCATGAATGGCTTGGGAGAAAAGTAGAAATCACAAGTGAGATTAAATCAAGTTGACTGCAGTCTATTATAAATAGACTGGAGACTGGGATTTTTAAGTAGGGACACATGAGTGTCTGGGAAACGGAAATGAATATTCTATTGACTGTCAGTTCTCTTCGACTGTGTCTACAGATTTGTCTTGAACTTGTTTTTACATTGGATTTAGGGAAAAGAAAGTGAAATGTGAAAGTTGATATTTGAAACCACAATCTCCATTCCTACCACACTGTTTTCCCATTTCACATGCCTCCTTAAAATCTAGCCTCCATCCCTCTTCTCTTTTTCTTTATAGATACAAATTTCTTTACGACCGAAGTGACCTCAAAGATGTCTTGTGTTACTGCTAACTAAGATCAACACCATTTCAAAACAGAAAATAGTTTTTAAAAAGACATCTACATAATTTACTGTGACCCATCTTTGTATTTAAATATACACACTGTATTATGAATACACTTAAGTTTATAGTTAAAAATGTAAATATTTGGCCATTTATTTATAAATGATAAAACTGAATGTTTGTTAAGCATTTTAATTTTCAAAAGCTTCAATCATCCATACAAATAATGCACAAAATGAATTGGAAATACCATCTTATTTTCTGGTTCACTGGTAACAGAATCTGAGAACATTCATTTATCTTTTTATTTAAAAGATACTTCAGAATACAAATATTCCAGGCATTAAAAAAACTAGTACTCTGTGCATCTCATAAAACTATTTCCATTAATGGCACCACTAAGCTGTGTTCTTTGCATATCACACTACTTTCATTTTCTTGCTATATGAGTACTCTAATTGGTTCTTTTTCATTATTAGACTGCTAAGGTGATCTTTTAAATGTTTCAAAAAAGTAGATTTATGCATGAGGGTTTGATTTTTAATTCCTGTGGCCATCACTTATAATGTTAATTTTTTCATGAACCCATCATGAGTACATATAACTACAATGAGAGAAAAGGTGGGGATGGTAAGTGATACTTTAAATAATGAGGAAGAGAAAGGATGACAATATCCAGATAATTCTGGCCCCAGATTTAAGTATGAAAGATGCTGGTTTGTAATTAAAATTGTGTGTAGAATTGCAGGCAGTTGT